CGAGGTCATCTACGTGACCACTTCCCCACTTCCCAAATCTTTTTTCTTTTAAGTCATGCCTGTAGACAGATGAAAATGCGCCATGCACCCATAATTCTCCAGAGAGTGGTGGGCCCAGGTCTGCCAGTGCAGCTAAGTATCAGGCAGGCTGGACCTGCGAGCTAACAGATGGGGAACAGGTGCCCCCTGACAGCCGGGAGCAAGGAGAGAGTGAAGAGATAGGAGCCAGAGTGAAGGCCATGGCAATGCTGAGCTTCACAGGGTGACAGGGGAAACCCAAGACAGGGACAAGGGCAGTGGGTGTGAGAATTTGTTCAGAACTCTTAACCTTGACTCATCAAAAATCTGTATCTCAAATTTCGCTCCCAGTCTGGTGAAATCTGGTCTAGAGGAGGTAAAATCTGTCTGTGGCATCCCTCTCTACTCCCAAAGTGCTGCCTGATCCCCGGCCCCGCAATTTTCCCTGCAGCCCAAGGCAGCTCCCAGGGACCCCTCCATGAGCATGTCCTACTGACCTGACTTCTGAGCCGTTTCTGAGTTGTGGGGATGCCTTCTTCGGCCCCATACACGCCTGCTCCTATGCTGGCTTTTGTTTTTATAGGATGCTCTTTCTCTGCAGCTTCCGAGAAGTAGGTCAAGGTGCCTGCTTCTAAGGGAGAAATGCCAGGGGTTCAAGTCACTTGGCCTGGCGTCAGGAATCCTGAGTCTATTTCTGGCCTCCCGGCTAAACAGCTCTGACGATCCTAGGGGTGGATGGTCCCCTTCTGTTCTCCCTGGAACCTTCTTTAGGTGTCATAAATCTTCCCCCTGAAGCTGCCTCCCTCTTTGCTGCCTCTCCTCTCCCTCTTCCTCAAAGATGTTAACTGCTTGGGCTGGTGCCGGCAGCCAGGGCTGCAGCTGTTGCCTGACCTGGAGCTCAGAGGCTCTGCTGGGCACAGTGGAGCTGGGTGTGAGCCTGGAGCCAGCAAGCCAGACTCTAAGAGGCAGGCCTGGAGCTGTCCTGTGGATGCTGGAGCCCGGCTGCCAGCAGCACTCCTGGGTTTTATGTGATGGTTATAAATTGCCTCCCTTTCTCTGTAACTCAGGGAAACTTCGTCTCTGGTTCACATGGAAACTCTAGAAATCCCAGTGCTTGCTCATGGCAGAGGGGCCAGTTGAGCTGTTGCCGCAGAGGACATTGTTCAGGGTGACCCCATTAACCAGGGTGCACTGTAGTCAAAAAAATAACATTTCCTAAGGCCTAGTTCCTCTTGACAGTCCCAGCAGGCCTCTGGCGTGGTGCTGCGGGAGACAGCAGGCCCACTATTGATAACTATTAGGGGAGGGGTTAACATTAGCCCTCTGCTTTGGGCTGGATAACTGAGGCCCTCTCTGATATCCCCAAACCCAGGTAATGGGAGTAAAGTCCAGGTGAGGAAGAGGAGAAAAGCAGATGAGGAGAGGAGGGGAGGGGCGTGGGGCTTCAGGCTGTTAGAAAGAACTACTCCATTTAAGATACAGCTGTTACTGGAATGCAAGGTCTCAGGAAGTGAGGGAAAGAAAACGGGTCTGGGCGGTGTGTCTGGGCTTGAATCCCCACTTGGCTATTATTGAGTGAAGCTTTATCTTACTGTCTGGACCTCAGATTCCCAGCTGCCAGGTTGCTGAGCGTGTTTCCTGAGATGACCGAGTCCACAGGCACAGAGCCTGCCACCGAGTGGGTATGCAGTAGGCATAATTTCTTTTCCATTTTCCTTCCTGTCACTTCTGCCTCCCTGTTTTGGATTTCTGCAGATTAACTAAGGACCAATCCCTAGAATAAGCGTCCCCGTTCTGACACTCCTTCCTTCCCAGGCTTCACCGAGCCAGCTGATGTCTGCTTGTGTCTCCGCACAGCCACAGCACGGTCATTTCGGCCTGTGATAGCTGCACCTAGGACAGTGATCCCCAGATTGCCAATTGCCTATGGCCATAGTAGCCACGGTAAAACTGTAGTGTTTTATGCCTGCAGCAACTCCAGCCATCTCCTGTTTACTGAGTCTCTTGACAACAATCTCTTCCCTTGCACTCGATTTAATCTTGGGCTGTCTGGTTCACAGTGGTCCCGAAGAGATCAAATCTGCTGCTAATGCTACAACAATGAAACAGCCTAATCACGTCTTTCTCAGGCCAGATCCCGTGGTTAAGAGATGGGGTGGGGGTGGGGGAGCCCTCTTCTGGATATCGGGACCCTTGGGTTTTTTCTTTTGTTTAAACTAAGAGCCAGAAGACTGGGTCCCCACGTCTCAGCTGCCTCGTACGGGAGTAACAGCCCAGCTTTAGATTTCTACCATTTCCAGCAGCACTTTCACCTAAACACCTTGTCTACACCACAGCGATGAGTGTGGCCTCTTCCTTCACCATTGCATGTGTGGAACCCAGAAAGGCCTCAGCCCCTTGGGCCCATTTTCTATCACATCCTGAGACCTTGCACCCAGTATCAACTGTAGCTTAAATGGAGTAGTTCTTTCTAACAGCCTGAAGCCCCACGCCCTCCCCTCTTCTCCCCTCATCTGCTTTTTCTCCTCTTCTTCATCTGGACTTTACCCCATTACCTGGATTTGGAGACACTGGAGAGGGCCTCAGGTTATCCAGACCGGAGTAGGGGGCTAATGTTAACTGCCCTCACTATTTATCAACAGTGGGCCCGCTGTGTCTCCAGCATGAAGACTGGTCAGTCCGTGTCCTTAGGAGCCACAGCGGTGGGATCTAGCTGCTGATGAGGACTGGGCAGCAAGGGAAGGGGAGGGCCTGTCCTGTCAATCACCAGGATCTACACAGTCCACAAAACAAGCACCGACCGAAGCTGCCAGAGAACGCATACACTGCATCTAATAAACGACCACCAAAAATTAAGTGTAAGCATGTCCCAAGTAGTGCATGGAACATGCGGTGAGAGTTACTCTGTATTTATTTGAAATTCAAGTCTAACTGGGCATCCTTATTTTTCTGTACCACCCTGGCAGCCCCACATCCAATAGGAACTCCTACGAGCTGGCTCCCCAAGAAGCTCCCCCATGCGGCCCCAGATGCCCTCCCATCCTTAACTCTGCCCCAGCTGGACAGAAGGGGTCCCCACCTGGCCTCGCTTTCTCTAACCTCTTCCTTCCTGACCTTGGCCATTATAATCCCTCCACCTGGAATTATTTGCATTACGGCTACATCTAGAAACCTTGTGTATTTTCAGAGCCCATCTTAAGTGGTTTTGTTCTATTTTGGTATTTTCTCCCCATTCTTTCCATGAGCCACTGAGATGATTAGATCTTGTTATAATTTTTCACGTCTCCCCTCTCCTGCACATAATAAGGCAGGATCAATAAATAATTGATAAAAAGAATGAATGAACCTATCATCCCTCTGAATGTCTAAGTAGAATTCCGTGCCTCTCTTGCAGAATCGACCGCATTCTTCCTTGTCATGTAACGTTTTCATCCGTGTTTGTCTTGTGCTCCCTGACAGACAGTTCAGTCCTCAAAGACAGACCACACGTCGCGCCGTGCCGCAGGCACCAGAATTTACGGATATAGTTTGTGTTGAACAGAACTGTAGGCTGGGACTTGACCAAGGTAGACTCCAGATTCTCCTGGATGTACCACCCACAGGTGCGAGTGTCCGCTGGCCTCAGAGCCACCTGGCTCTGACTTAGAACTGGCACAGAGACTGAGCTCCACTGTCCAAGTCCTTTGAGGGCATAGATGAAATGTGAGGTGCTGCTGATGCAGGGTGGGGTGACCAGGGAGAAAAAGGAGCAGGGGTTTGGAGTGCTATCTAGGAGGCTGGACATACTTTTCTCAAAGGTCCTGCAGGAAGCACGGGCTCAAAGATGACTGACCTACAGACACACAGCCCACTTTATGTAGGAAGAACCCCATTCACCTCCCAAGGTCTCCACTTCCTCTGGTGGAAACTGGGGGACAGGACACCATCTTTGGGGCCCTTCCCTTCTTAGCTTCTACTAGTAGACTATTTTGAATGCAAGAAACCTCGGCCAGTCGGCAAGAGGAGAAACTAAGGAAGAGCGATTGAAAGGGCTGGGAAGAGCAGAGGAAGAGTAGAGGAGGCCCAGCTGGCTAGACAGCATCTTCAGGGTGTGGGTGCGGCCCTGCTGCCCCAGGGGATCTCTTCTCCCTGGTCACAATAGGTGGGGCATTTGACCTCGGAGAGGACCTTGGTCTTCTCACAAGCTTGTGATTTAATTACATGTGTAAATCTGTGAGAGAAAAGCGAGCTGACTTCCTGCAGTCCCTGGGGGGTCAGGTAGAGTGCGTTTCCTGCGTACCTGGCCGGGGAAGGACGCTCTCTCCTAGCAACCTCCAGGCCAGAGAGCAGCTGGGAGGGCCAGAGCTGATGGCTTAATTAGAGAGTGGGGCTTAGTTTAGGGACCAAGGAGGGTCATTCCCCAAATTGTCTTCCTTGTACCCCTGACTCATCCTATGCATCCTGGACAAATCAGGAGGGGGGAGTTGGGGGTGGGTGGGCGGGTAGATCCACCTGAGCTTCCTGGGCCGGTGCTGGCCCTCCTGGGCCCAATGGTTCCGGGAGATCTGGATCGTGGGCCTGGGCATTCAGACAGGAGCAGGGAGTTGGGGCGGGGACTACCCCAGGAGAACGCTGCAGCTGGACGACCCGCCGGCCAGGGACAGCTCGGGAAGGCTCCCCTAGGCATCTGGGGTTCCTGGAGGGCGCCTGGGCGGAGGCAGGGGACGGGCGGGGAAGGGGCGGGGCGGGGGTCGGGGCACCCGGCGGGGCTGAATCCTGGGAGGGGGGGCCTCATTAGCATAGCCTCCTCCCCTCCCCGCGCCGCCCGGCCCAGAAACCCGAGCGGAGGCCGGCGGCGCTCAGCCTCGGCCGCTGAATGGGCGCGCGGCTGCAGCTCCGGCCTCCGGCGCCCGGCCCCGCTCGCGCTCGCGCCCCGCCCGGTCTCGGCGGCCGCCGCCATCCGCCGCCTGGGCTGTGAATGAAAAGGCAGGCGCCGGCGGGGGCTGGCTGCGGGCGACGCGGCGACGCGGCCTCCGGGGAGGCGCTCGCCCCGCGGAGATGTACGGTAAGCACGGCTCTGCCCCGGCGCTCGCAAACTTGCGGGACGCGGACCTTTGTCCCCTGCCCGGCCGGGCGAGGCCACCGGGCGCCGGACGCGGTCGCGGCTGGGCTCTCTGCCGCCCTGTGTGCGCGCGTCGTGCCGAGAGGACAAAGATGCCAGGGCCGGGGGGGTGGGGGGGCCCTGGGGTCCCCGGAGGTGCTGCGGGCCGGCGCAGGCGGGCGCTGGGGGCTGGGCGGTGGTCCGTCGGGGCGCGGGAAGCCTGGGTGATCCCGAGCGGCTGCATTCTGGGGAAAGCGCGTCTCTCCGAGCCGAGCAAACAAGGAGGCGGCCGTGTGATCGCGTTTGCAGCATTAACAAAAGCAGGTTGTGCCGGGGAGTTTTATGCGGAAAGCCGGCCCAGGGTTTTGGGGAGTCGCTCGCTGCCTGCGGTGCTCCGCGCTCGGAGGGTGTGGGAGGCGGCGGCGGTGCAGAGGGCCCGGTGCGAGCGGGCTCTGGGAGCCTCGTCTCGGCCGCCCCTGGACGACTTCGCCTCTGCTGGCCCCTGTCGCCGTGGGACCCCGGTTCCCTAACTTCCCCATTTGGCCACTGCAGTAAGGAAGGGAGCAGACCTGCCGAGAGGGAGCCACGCAGCTCGGGCAGCCGCCTCTGGCTGTCCGCCGCCCTCTCTTCCCCACCTGGGCGATCCCCTCAATTGTGTGCAACAGTTAGCCAGACCCTCGAGACTCTCGCACGCTTCTGCTTCTGCTTTAACACCCCCCCCCCCCGCCGGGAGTCTTCTGGCTTGAAAGGTAGAGTGGGTGAAGGAGAGCACTTCGGACACCCCCATTAAGGCTCTGAGGGGTGAAGCTGGAGATCCAGGCTAGTCTAGAAATCAGCTGCATTAGGGAACCTCCAGACATGAGCTGCTGGGTGTGTGTGTGAGAGAGACTGAGAGACCCAGGCAGAGAAGAGAGTTCGAGAGGGAGGGGGGCAGAGGGGGCGGTGATGGACATAAGTCCATCAGAACCCAGGTCTGGCAGCTGTCCTAGGCTGACAGCTCCAGCTCCCCCTACACATCGGGGTAGGGGCTCAGACAGCACCTCAGGGGTGAGTGTGGAAGGGGGCGCATTCCCAATTTAACCCACCACCGAAGCTGCTCAGCTGCCTCACTCTGCAGAGACCGTGAGTCACAAAGTTTGTTGGAGGCTGGGGAAGCTGAGGGTATGATGACGGCTCGCCAATGGGGGGCCTCGCTCTTTGAGAGATCCTCAGCCTTTTGATCAGCCTCCTCCTGCAGTCCAGTTAGTAACGGGTCTGTGTTCTGGAGCCCAGCGAGGCATCTGCAGGTAACCCTCTGCAGGTAACCCTCTGCAGGTATTGTTTCTCTTGGACCAACCACTTGGTGTTTACCCGGAGGAGTGAGGGGAGAGGAGGGGGAAGGAAGGGAGGTTGACCTCAGAGCCTGCTCTGCACACCAGTGGGGGACTCTGGGGCCAGTGAGGGACCCTGCGGGAGGGGGAAGGTATCCAGGCGTGTGTTTTATAAAGCTAGGAGATTATGATGTTCCCAGGAGAGAGCTGTATTTCCTTTCTCTCTGCTTTCCCCCCTGTTCTGTTCTGCAGAGTGAGCAGCCTGCAGTTGCAGATCACTTGACACACGCATGTGATTGCAGGGGCACCTGCTAGGATAGCCCCAGCAGATGGGCAAGCATGAGAAACCCTCCTTCTGTGGGCCGTCTCATTGCATTCAGCCCAAGGCACTTTGGTCAGTGACCCCAGGCTACCTGAGCCTTGGGGGTCCCAGCCTTTCTCTGTTGTATGAAGCCAGTTATGGAAGAATTGGGTGGTGCAGAGGGTGAATAAAGTGAATTGGAAAGCCTGTGGGTCTGGCTGCTATTTTTGGATGCACCACAGATTTTCATTTCTCCTTTATGTTTTTCTTCCTCTAGATGCAAAGAGATGGCACTTACCCCTGAAACAGTCTAGAGAGATTATAAGGAAGGTATCCTCTCGACAGCTGCCTGCAGCAAAGGGATGTCCCACCAGTGCTGGCTGGGACATTGTAATTGTGTCTTGCTTTGTGCAAAGCCTGGTCTTTGGAGGTGTGTGAAAGAGCTCACTCTTTATGGTAGGGCCCATATTTTTAGTATTTTCTGGACTTTAGTGGTAAGAAAAGATCTAGGTGCTATTTGTAATTTTCTCTGCAGAAGTCAATAGAGTGCTGAAAAAAAAGATGCAGATAAGGAGGTTGGGAAGTTCTACGGGCTCCTTATCTTCGGTTTGATTTTCCCCTAATTTTCTAAGTGAGTTATCCAAGATGATGCAGATGGAACAGAGCAGAGTGGAAACTGGGGCCTCCTACCTCAGTGCATTCACCCCCATACTCTAGGTAAATGTTCATTAAGAAAATGGCGCCAGGGATTTTACTAGCTGGGAGCAGTGAGGGCCGGCAGAGCTGAAGGTCACCTGAGAACGCTAGGCAAAACCTCTTCCTGTGAATTCTGGGGGTCCGCACTCATGATCTCTCTGCTTCTTGGTGATCCCGACAGATTTTCTCCCTTTCCCGGCCTCACCTTACCTCTGCCCCCACAGCTCTGTTTTCCTGTCTCCTCCATCTTTGTCCTCTGTCCACGATCGAGCAGGTAAATGTCTTTGTCTTTTGAGAGGACACAGAGCTCTCTAGGACAGAAAGAACCCCAGACCTGGGGACATTCCACCTCAACCCTGAACCAGCTCTGCTGTGTGGCCCTGGGCAAGTGGGGTTATCTGTTGGAGGAAGCATCTCTGTATAAAACAGTGACACAGCCAGCCACCTGCCAGGGCACTGCCAGCCCCAAGGCTGGCCCTGAGTGTACCTGCACCCCACACAGCCCTGCACTCCGGCTGGACTGGCCAAGAGCCTGTGCCCTTGAGCCTTGACACCCTCTTCCTCTCTGCATCAGCTCCCACCCGAGCCTCCCTGCACAGATGCGTGGCTTCCCCTGCTCTGCAGGCCACTAAACTCCTCCCCCTTCTCCGCTCACTCCAGCTGTCTCCTCAGCCCTCCCTGTTTCCAAACCCCAGCCACTTTCTGGACATCCTCCAGTCCCGTGCATGCCAATGGACAGATTGACAAGGGCCCTAGAAAAATAAAAGCACTTTGTACTGAGTAGGAAGATTGTGGGGAAATTCTCTGCAAAAAATGGATGCCATGAGGTTTCCTTTGTGTTAGCACTGCGTCATTGCGTAACCGAAAGTTTCCCTCCTGCTCTGGCCTGTGGTCCTGCCCGGAGCATCCCACTGACCCACCCACCAGGCAAGGCAGAACTGGCTGTCCCAGGGGCTCCCCTCGGGAACTGGGCAATTGTATTGTCTCTCTTGGACCAACCACTTGGTGTTTGGCAGGAGGAGGGAAGTGGGGGGGGGGTAGGAGGGCCCCCCACCCCAGGAGCCCCTGGGGGAGGGTTTCCCCAGAACCAGGTTATACAGCCCATCCGACTCAAACAAAAGCTACTCTGGAACCTCCTCACCTCTCACTGCTGCTTCATCCGCCTCCCTTGTCTCCTGGTGCTTTGTGACCTGGACGCTGACTGCTCGCTGTCAACTTTCCATAATGTGTTACAGAGGATGTGTGTGGAGACAGGCTGTGTGGGCCCCGGAGGGCAAAATCTCACCTCTGTGGGTCCTGCTTCTCATCACAGGGCTCCTGCAGATACACAGACAGACAGACAGATGCACATACGTGCCAGCGTCCCCCTTCGTCCGAGGCTTCCGCAGCTTGTTCATATGCGGGAGCCAGGGGCCCCTTTCCTCCGTGGCCCCCCTTCACGCCCCCTAGAAGGGGTGGGGGAGTGGATCCGAGACTCTGACTCTTGTTGGTCACAGTTCAGTGAATCTAATAGGTGCAGTTTTCTTCTTGTACATAATAAAGTTAAAGTTAAAATTAAAAGTTAGTGTCACTTTCTAGAAAATCTAGGGAAGAAAGGCAGGAAAGCCATTCACACCTACCCATTAAAACCAACCTTTTATATTATATAAATTACTTGGGCTTGTCCAGCTCCTTTTGCCCTTTCTCTTTCTGGCCCCATACTGAGGTCCTTCCTGGCTGTGAACACGGGCATGATGGTGAAGGAGTATCCGGGAGCCCCAGACTGGGGATGACCCCTGGCCCCACTTCTCAGTTATCCTTGGGCCAAGTCTGATGCCTGGCTCTAATGATGACAGTGCCCACTTTGGCAGAGATTAATCAGGATAAGAGAGCTGTGCCCACCACACACACACTTGTTCCACTCTCTTATTTCTTAATTTGATAAGAGGGGAGCAAAAATAAAAATAACAAAAATTTGTGTCCCCTGAGCTTAGAAACAGTGTTTGGGATTCTGTTCCATATATTAAACAAACAAACAAAAAAATTTCAATTTAAAAGTGTCTTTTTTTTCTTAATGGTTATCCTTCCAGAAAACCTGCAAGACATAGTAAAACTGCACACAAGTATTACTGCTTTTACTGTTATGATGTCTCTCAGGCATTTCTTTATGCCATTGGAATTATTCATTTGATATTCTATTCTTTTCTACTTAACTTTGTAATAAAAGCATCCCTCTCCCCAAGTTAATAAAAAACCCTCACTGGTTGCTATTTTAATGACTGTGCACAACAACCCATTGAATGGTTGTATACTTTCCTGATTGTACATAAAAATTCAATATAATAACCCTGGGCAAAGCACCTGCTGTCCAAAGCTTTCTCTGAATTTTGGGATAGTTCCCTAAGCTGTAGTCCTCCAAATGGCTTGATTAAGAAATAGAAATATCTTTAAGATTTGTTATGTATTGTCAAATTATTTTCAGTTCCTAGCCATTACATTCCCTATTTCCCTGTATCCTCAAAGCATTAAATCTTGAGATCCCCCCAAGCTCTGCTAATTTGATAGAAAAGTTATTTTAACTTCTGTTGTTTATAACTAGTGAACTAGAACATTACCTATATTTTTTAATCATTTGTATTTTATTGACTTGTTATATGTCTTTATTTATTGAGGATGTT